ACCGTGCAGTGCATGGTCCGATAGACACCTATGTGAACCAGACCTGTGATGTATGCATACTCACCCACGCCGCACGATGCCCATGTACTTTGTGTTGTCCCATGATGTTGTGTCCATGGGACCCTGTGTCCGTGGCATCCCTGTCATGTACCAGGCGTTGTGAAGGACGCTCCATCGAAGGCACTCAGAATTGGCAATATATGTAGAGGGTTTGAGTGCACTGGGCTTTACCCTTACAATCAAACGCTTTTAACGATAAGCTTTTCCTACTCAACTCACTGGCTGATAGACCAGTCATACATCCCATAATCTGATCAGGCCTGACAATGGTGGGCAGCATTCATTTATTTGTGCTTGTGTCCTTTATTCCATTGGCAGTCAAAGAAGCAGCACTGGTTCAACATTTGTTAGTTATAACCCTGCCTGATATTTACCAGCAGTATCATTACAGTCACATTCGCTTTCAGTGGCGTCTCATTCATGCACTTTTATATATATCTTAAGCGGTTTAAGCATGTGAATTTCATATCTGCGGTCGTTACCGCCGTGTCACCGACACACCAGCCATCACCGTCAAGTCACCGACACGTCAGCCGTCCCCACCCAGTCCCAGACACGTCAGCCGTCATCGTCAAGTCATCGACACACCAGCCGTTACCGTTAAGTCAGCGGCACCCCAAACGTCACCGTGAAGTCCAAGACACCCTGTTCGTTACCGTCAAGTCACCGGCCCACCAGCTGTTACCATCAGTCACAGACACACCAGCCGTCACCGCCAAATCATCGACACCCCAAACGCCACCGCCAGTTACCGACACACCAGCCGTCACCGTCCAGTCCTAGACACACCAGCCGTCAACGTCAGACACCGATACACCAGCCGTCACCGTCAAGTCACCAATACACTAGCTGTCACCATCAAGTTACCGATATACCAGCCAGCCGTCACCATCAAGCCACCGGGACACCAGCCGTCACCGTCAAGTCTCGGACACACCTGACGGGGCCCATCCGCGCATCGCGGTCCAGCGCATTCGCTCCGCCTGCCACACATACATGACCCTGTGCGGCCGTGAATAGGCGCGGTCCAGCAATATTCTTTTGGAGTTCACCGCAGAGCAACCTCGGCGCAGGACAGCAGGGAGGGAAAAGTAATCGCGCTGCACGTGGTTATTATCATCGTTCGACTCGTGCAAACATTACAGCGACTGTATCGTGCGCAAAGCTGTTTTTTACTCGAAACTGATGCCCCGTGGGCGTAAATGCCGGATACCGTGTCGGATGCGATCTGGAATGCGTAAATGTGATACTTAAGTGCCGGATGCAAAAATTTAATCGAGTAGGTCAAGCTTACGAATTACCGTTCAGAATAGTTATATTTTCGGCGTGACGTAGCTTTTGCCTGGCCTTCAGCTGAAAAGCCCTCCCCCGCCCTCCTGCTGCGCCGCCTGCCCCTGCGATGGCGGCGGCCGAGCGAGCACCGCACCGCAGCCGCCCACATACTTTGCATTAGAGTTGCAGTCATCTATGGTCATTCCCTACCACTAGTGCCGGTGCAGGTACTCTTTTGAATGATAACGTGTGCAAGAGATGACAACATATGCAATCTACTGGAGATGGCGGAGTTAGTGAAGAGAGCAAGTTTCACCGAAACTGCATTGGCATCGGAATAATGGCTCAACCCTGCCTTTTTCTTCAGATCGGTTCCTGTGGCAGCCGTTTTCACCGTTGGAATCACTACGTGGCGGAACGAACAGGTGAGTTGTAGAGTGGAACTTACATTTTGACCAACGCTGCGCGCGCGCGCGCGTGTGTGTATTATTTTGCTAGCATCATTCCTGTTGCATTCCCCTTCTCTGTTACAATTTGTACTCTGCATAGTAAACGGGACACTATCTGTAGACCAGACAGCCAGCGATGGATTAGCGGACTGGTTGCCGTATATATTTTGTAGATGAAAAACGGTGCTTCGGC